TCAGGCTTTTTGAACTATCAACACGTTGCATTCGTCACCATTGTCATTCATTTTAACAGGCTGAAAAAGATAAGAATAAAAAAAATGAAAGAATGAATTTAATATATATCGTCTTGCAATTAAGAAAAAGGATGCAGATTTTTACGCAAGATCAAAGTTCATTATGATAAATTCAGGGACTGTTTGATGATGATGGAACGTTACAAGCTTTGTTCTAGAGCTATTTAATGTGACCAACCAGTTTTTCCCACATTGAGTTTATTGAAGCTAGATCAGAAGGGAGATCAGCTATTCACGTTTGAACAAATATTTTTGGGAAAAATACGAATCCATTGCATCTACCCATTGCCAACTATGGGTTAAATAACAGGGAAGACTGGACTATCTTGTCATGGTTGGCAACCAGTTTAGGAGAAGAACAACTCTAAATTCAGAATTGGTCTATAGCACTGATAATATTTGAATAATAATAATAATAATAATAATAATAATAATAAATAAACAACTACATCTAAAACAATAAAAGCTTTTAAAACAAGTTCAAAACAAAATAATCAGCTAAAATTTGAAGGAGGAATTCACTTTATCACCTGTAATAATTGTAACAAGGAATACACCAGAGAAGCCTCATGGAATTTATAATAATATTATAATGTAATAATATTAATATTATAATATAATAATAATGATATTTATACCCATAACAATATAGTAATAACATATCTATATACATTATTATTATAATTATTAATATAATATATATATATATATATATTGCAATAATAATATAATAATAATATATCTATATATTATTATTATTATAATTATGAGTGTAATCATAATAACAATATGAACACAAAAGGGATCTTTTACAAAACAACACATTAAATGTATTATTTGGTCACCATAATGAGACTAACTACAGTATTGATTTAAAAATGCGAGTTTAATTAAATGAGAAAACAATTTACTAAGGTGAAAATGTTTAGAAAGTGCTAGATAATGCACAGTAAATTTGTGCCCACGTTCTTACAATGTTTCATATATATATATATATATATATATATATATATATATATATATACACAGAAATCCATCACTTAGTGTGCCTAATGTGTATGTTAAAAGACACGCCTTAATCGAAAACGCATTAATCGAATATAAGCAAAATAGTTACCATTTTCTAATTTTTAAATTTTAGAAAATTTTGAATTAATCAGAAATTATATAAAAACAAATTTTCAAAACAATGATTAAACTGAAGAATGTTTTACTGAACTAATTGACTATTATGCATGCATTAATCGAATTTTGGAATAAAACATTTCAGCGCACTAATTGAAAATGCATTAATCGAATGTGTATTAATCGAATGTGTATTAATCGAATGCACATTAATCGAGGTATTTCTCACTGATAGCTTAGCGGGAGAAAATCTGACTACTGCCAAATTGGTTGGGTTTTAATCCCAGCTTGAAGCAATTGGATACAGCGATACAGGCCTGTATGTGGGTGACATTATTAGGCTCTCGATAATATCGGTTGAGCACTGTTGAGAGAGAGGGTAATTCTAAACAGCAACCGTCTCCATTAACGCAATGCTCTTCATTAAATGAATTGAGCACTATGGCTGTCTGGCATTTGTTTATATTCGTAAAAATAATATGTTAGAATTTCCTTTCTCCCCACCGTGCGCTGATAATTCAGGGGTAGAAACTCCGACTGATCCCAAATTGGTCGGGTTTTGATTTCGATCCCAGCTTGAAGCAATTGGATGTCTAACCGCCCAGCGATCGATAGGAGGCAAAGAGGTTTCTCTATGGTGGGTAAATAAGAGCAGATTTGTATTGGATGCATTAAAATTTACAAACCGTTTCCCGCCCCAGTCAACTACAGATTGGAGGCCATTTTCGAGACCAACGGCCAGGTTAACTTTGTCAGCAATGCCGGATTTATTATTGAGACAGGAGTAAATGCTAGTGCCGTCTGCGTAGATGCCTTACATGTTGGCTAAGGAGAAATCTATGCACAGAACTCTTTGGAATTTTTTCTTCTTTCCCACTGTCTACAAAGAATACCTTAATTGCACCATTTTCTTCCTCCTGGATAATGCCACGCTTCTGTATCGACACTATATTTAGCCAAACATGCTGAACCAGACGAGAAATCTTTTTCCTGATATATATATATATATATATATATATAGTTAGATTAATGTGTGTTTGTGACCATGGGTTTCACGCTGTTTGCGATTGTCAGACAAACTCGTGTGACGGTCGCAAATAGCGTCACAAACTCACATCGATCCAACTATATATATATATATATATATATGAAGAAATATAGTTTTAAGGTGTACTATATTTATGAGATAAAGTGCTCAATATCAGAGATAGAGCGTATGTAAATATAAAAGTGAACATTGAAGTCAACACTCAAAGGCGACAGGCTGTTTCATGCTGGACGCAATGTTCACTTATATATATATACACCTGCTCTG